GGTAAGTTTGGTATATATTCTCGCCTCCAGATTCCACTTTCACTTGCATGGGCCATTACAACACACAAATCGCAAGGGCTGACTTTACCGAAAGCTGTCATTGATATTAGCAAAAAAGAATTTGCTGCTGGATTATCTTTTGTAGCTATATCATGCGTCCGTTCACTTTAAGACATACTTTTAAGTCCATTTATTTTTGAAAGGCTTCTACGTATAAAAAATTGTAAAAGAATGCAAAAACGCTTAATTAAAGAGAGCAGATTAATGAATTTTGAAATTACTGAACAAAGAGCTATCTAAATAAGCGGTTTCTGTATATAAAATTCAAATTAAGAAGTATTGAAATTTTCACAATGCGTAAAATGCTTTCAAGAAAAGTTACTAGCTTTGTTAAATTTTAGTGAAAATTATCTATACAACTTTTTTTAAAGTAGTACAAAATGAATAAGTTATAGTTATTTTATAGGTTGTAAAAAAATAATAGGTTGTCTATATAACCTGTGCAAATTTGGTATTTTATAACCTGTATTTTATATCTGTATAATAACTTTATTGCACGGTATTTGACATACAATCCCGTGCTAATAAGTAAATGAAAAAAACACAGGTTGTTACATAAAACCCGTGCAATAACTAATTGTTTTAATAGATTTTTTTACAGCATTACAAAGATCTAAATGCAAATTTTATATAGTATATTTATATTACATACTGTAGTACAAATATCTAGAGTATTTTTTCGATTGGTCAAATCGACGATCAGTTGATCTAAAAATAGGTGCGAACATAATTACACACAAAATCTGGTCTATTACTTCTCTATTAGGACCTCCGCTACGCTCCGGACAATTAAATCTAAATTATATAATTTTAAAAGTGTCATTGTCTTTTGTCTTTTGTTTTGATCGTTAAGTCCCTTTACATTTAGAATAGCGATTTTAATTATTGCTTTAAGATTATGATAAAAGGTGTGCTCTTATTGAGCTTTTGGAAAATTCTTCTTTATTCGTCCTTTCTTGTATAGAGTTTGCTTTATTGTTACTTGCTTGCGTATATTTTTGATTTGTTTGTTCTTTTTCCTTTTGTAAAATACTGTTGTAAAGTCTTTCTCTATTGGAATTGCTAATAATACATTTTCTTGAATAGGGTTATTCTCTTTGTTGTTATTCTAAATGATGAACCATCAAGTGCTAGTTCATCTCTTGTTGTAAGTTCTGCTTCTAAGAAAGTGATTGTTTGGCTACTTTCTGCAGATTATTTATTTTGATGACTATGCTGAAAGAAACATCCTTCATCTCTTGTTCCTTAGATG